ACAACAACAACACCAACACCAACCACAACAACTACAACTACAACAACAATAGATCGATAGATGGAGAGAGAGATAGATAGATAGATAGATAGATAGATAGATAGATAGATAGATAGATAGATAGATAGATAGATAGATAGATAGATAGATAGATACATCGATAGATAGATACATCGATAGATGCATAGATCGATACATGGAGAGACAGATAGATACATAGAGAGATAGATAGATAGACGGAGAGATAGATAGAGAGAGAGAGATAGATAGATAGGTCGATAGATAGATAGATAGATCGATAGATAGATAGACAGATAGATAGACACATAGATCGGACGATAGATAGATAGATACATAGATAGATGGACAGACAGACAGATAGATAAATAGATAGATAGATAGACAGCTAGACAGATAGACAGATGAAAGAGAGAGAGAGAGAGATAGATAGATAGATAGATAGGTAGGTAGATAGGTCGATAGGTAGATAGGTAGATAGGTAATGAGATGAAAGAGAGAAAGAGAGAGATAGATAGCTAGGTCAACAGATAGATAGATACATAGAAGATAGGCTGGTAGGTAAGTAGATAGTCAGAGAAAGAGAGAAGAAGAGAGGAGACCTCAAGCACCTTTCGGTCCATCAGTGGCTTCGCTCTGCCATCCCTGATTCACAACAACCACTTTCTCCTATAGGTTTCCTATTTTTGAAACTTCCGCCACCGCCTTGTGCGGTACTACTGGTATATACATATATACCACCATATCCCGCTATTTACCACTATACATTATCCATTATCCATTATCCACCCATGATATATCCATTTTCATCCCCAGATCTGCTCCTTCTCCTTCCACTGGCAGCTCCATCGCCGGCATAGGCTCCGACTGAGGGAATTCCTCTAGCTCCAAATCAACAGGTGCAAAGCCACTGGAGCCACTGCGCTGGTGACTTCCTTGGTGGAATCCATGGAACGCCCTCGTGAAGTCACCACATCCAGCTGGTATTTGTGGATGTTCATCCCCTGTCTAAAAATTATATAATATATAGGTATTGATGCATAGCAATATGGCGGGGGGCAAAGATCACCATCGTACAACGGATTCTGTCAAAACAAGGTACAATCCTAAAATGCACCTCAAGTCTTGGCATGGTTTGGTTTCACTTTCCATCCTCAAATCAGGTACCGGCGCTGATAGCGGACCCGGTGTTTTTAGTGATTTTGATTCAACCATTCTTCATTGATTTGTTTAAAACTGTGGCGCTGTGACGATTTTGTTGTTTTGCCTTCAATTAGAAATGGTGTTTTCGTCCCACGTTACGCTAGGAATTTATTCATTGATTATTGAATATATTGAATTCTATTGGGCTAAATAATTTGCACATGTGGACTTGGAAAACGGAATGAAAGACGGCGTTTTGTCCTCTTCTTTTTCTCTCTTCATGGGTTCCGCGTCTGCGTTTGTTAACCTTAGCTGCCAGTTTGGCGAGACTTCCTTTCAAGTCTGCCTTGTGGCTCCAACGATAGGCGAAGGACCACACATACTGTTGGATTCTTTGAGAATCCTTTTTGGTAACCTTGTCTTTGCTATGGACGGAGAAGGGCACGAAGCGCTTCAGTTGCATCGTGATAAATCATCATTTGCCAGGTGTGTTTCAATCCAATGAACAAACAAAATTTATGAGATAAGTGATGTACGATACAGACATGATAACAGCCTCTACTCTTGGAAACCCATGGTGATCCATGGTGTTAGCGGTAGAAATTTCATGGGCCCGATGTCCTGTAAGCAAATTGATGTGAAACGCTCAACTCTCAAATGTCAACATTATCTTACTGTACTCACCTGAAAATAGAAAGACAAGAGGCAGTTACAGCGAAGCATCAAAAGCGTGTGACAAGTGACCAGAGACATGTTACAGCGTAGCATCAAAAGAGTGTGGCAAGTGACCAGGGACATGTTACAGCGTAGCATCAAAAGCGTGTGACAAATGACCAGAGACATGCTACAGCGTAGCATCAAAAGCGTGTGAAAAGTGACCAGAGACATGTTACAGCGTACCCCTTGCCCCCCCCCCACCCCCCTCCCCAACCCCACCCGGTTCCCCAAGAAAATCACATTATCCTTCGTGCACAGCTTCCAACTGGCGTGCACAACTTCTAACTGACGTGCGCAACTTCTAACTGACGGGTTAACTAAATTTGAAACGTATGCTCTAGTCACACCTCAAAAACTTGACGGCTGCGTGTGACGGTGACCTTGACGGTGAGTTTGACGGATCCGTGTTTCATGACGGTGAGTTTGACGGAAAGGTCGACGGTGAAGTTGACGGTCCGTCAAAGTGTCCGTCAAGGTGTCCGTCATGACAAAATAAGGCTTATTGTGTTGAAATAAGCCTTATTTCGTCCAAAATAAGCCGTATTTCATTAAAATAAGCCTTATTTTGTCGTGACGGACACCTTGACGGACACTTTGACGGACCGTCAACCTCACCGTCGCCCTCTCCGTCAACCTCACCGTCACAAAAAGAGAACCCGTCAACCTCACCGTCGATCTCTCCGTCAACCTAACCGTCAAGCATCCCACATGCGCCACTAGAAACCTCAAATTCATACGTTTTAAACTTAGATAACTGACGGGCACAACTTCTAACTGACGTGCGCAACTTCTAACTGACGGGCACAACTTCTAACAGACGTGCACAACTTCTAACTGACGGGCACAACTTCAAACTGACGTGCACACCATCTCACTGGCGGGCACAACTTCAAACTGACGTGCACGACTTCTAACTGACGGGCACAACTTCAAACTGACGTGCACGCCTTCTAACTGACGGGCACAACTTCAAACTGACGTGCACACCTTCTAACTGACGGGCACAACTTCAAACTGACGCGCACGACTTCTAACTGACGGGCACAACTTCAAACAGACGTGCACAACTTCTAACTGACGGGCACAACTTCAAACTGACGTGCACGACTTCTAACTGACGGGCACAACTTCAAACTGACGTGCACAACTTCTAACTGCATGCACAACTTCTAAGTGACGCGCGCAACTTCTAACTGACGGGCACAACTTCAAACTGACGGGAACAACTTCTAACTGACGGGCAATGCGACAGCAAAAAACAGCAAAACCTGCGGGTCCGTTAACAGCGCCGGTAGCTCAAATCAGGCAAGGCACGTCGTTTCTGCGCAGGCATCTCCTGCGTTTCCTTCAGATCGTTGCGATCGTCGACATATCTCTCAACCTCCAACAGGTCACCAGCCTTGAAGCAGATTCCCACCCAAAAAAAAACAACCCATGGGGGAAATTGTTGGGCAAAAAATTGATTTGTTTATGCTGAGAGTTGGGTTGTCTGATTTTTGTTGGTACCCCGAAATTCAATTTGCTTAGTGTTGTGTACAGTATGGTTGCCATTTGGGAATACATACTTTCAGCTTCAGGCATACGGCATACCCATTTGCTGGTTTCTCAAGATAGGATGACCCTGAAACCATTGGTTTCCCATGTTCCCTAATAAAATTGACAATAATTTTGGGTGATTTGCGAGAACCCCCGATACTGGGGCTCGGACGAGCTTGGGTGGCTCTTCCAAGGGCTCTCTGGTGGATGCAGCCGTGGACATCTCAGCCATTGAGGCAGGTCCTTCCGCATATGGACGGAGCAGCATGGCATGGGGTCATATAATGATTTTCTAATGTCACGAATATTCAAACCGTTGTTACTGTAGGTATCTCATAATTTGAAGTCCGCCTGCGCCGAAGGTGCCGAGGCGTGGTAGCTTAGCAGCGAGGGATACGGACAGGATTACCCCTATTTCCAACGTTGTTTGGCTTTGATGGGGGTTCGCGCGAGCCCGTGTTGCCCACAAAGGGCTTGTCTTGGGCCCAACCTCGGCGCCAGATGCCCCCACACAGGACCAAGTTGCGCATGCTAAGCCCAACTTGCGCCCAAACATGCCCAAGTTGCGCCATGTTGGGCCCCAGTTGGGCTCAAGTTGGGCCCAAGTTGGAGCCAACTGGCCCCGGTGGCCAAGTTTAAAGGCCCAAAGTTGGGCGCAAGTGAGCTCCTGTTCGTCCCAACTTGAGGCCAAGGACGGCCAAGTTTGACCCCAGTCGGCTTTTGGTTGGGCCAAGTAGGCCCGCTTCTTTCCTTCGACTAGCCATCCATCCCAACCATCCCTTTTCCCTCCGAAGCCACTTGGCTGATGTCTTACCTCTACGCTGGCGGCCTGAGAAAGCCGTGACCTGAGTTCCTGTTGGGGACAAGTCTCTCTGTCCTATTCTCTGGGTGCGGGCGGTTCTCGTCGCGAAGCGACTCGAATAATCCAAGGTGAAGAAAAGGCAGTGTGCAACTCCCTTTCACAGTGCAAGTATCTACATATCCCCAATCAAAAAAGGTCGATTTATAAATCAATCAGCGCCAGTGCTGAAACTCATCAGCAAGGGTTTTGGTCACTGCTCGTGCTCAAGCTGGCCCAAGCTCTGAGGCATGCACTTGGAGCCACCTGCCAGGTGCCAGAAAGTGCCCCTAGTGATGCCAAGTCTTGGACCTTCCATAACCTTCCCATCCAGCCTCGGTGTGATACTGTGAGACCACACTTTCCCGCACGCTCTGGGACCGCTGGAGACGAGACCTGCCACTGGCGGAAGTTCCCACAGGCAAAATCTACGGGAACGCATGGTTTGTACAGGGTCACACCCCCAAATCTGGCGTTTTCCTGCAAGTCTTCCCTTGAAACCGACTCTGGGAATGACTCATCCAGCCACAAATGACTGCCAGGAGCGCAAAGCGGCAATCTCTTGCTGCTCAATGGCGGCCAGCTCTTGTTCTGCTTGCTGCATCTCCTCTTGCAGCTGCGCATAGCGCATGCTATTCCACTCCTGCGCATCAAACCCGGCTTTTGAAAAGGATCCAAGAAGCATCGCTGCGCATCCTGTGGGAATAAATCGATTAAATGATATACTACATGACATGATGTCGTCTGCTTTTGTCTCAAGAGTAAACAAGCATTTTTTCCGGCTCGAGGGCGAGAAACTGGACAAATGCCAAGTGCACTTTTCACCTGGGACTCGCATCTGGAACCATTCGGTCTGGGAGGCTCAGTCCAAGTGGACATCTGGAGCATATCTGCGGCTCAGAGCTTCAAATCTTCGTCAAAGGCAGGTGCGAGCAGCGCAGGAGTCAGCAAGTTCCTCCACGGCCATGCCATCTTCAGCGTGCTGTGCTACGCGAACTTCAGGAGCTCCAAGGATGGATTCCACAGGGATCCAGCGGGCAGCTTCTGATGAGGGCAACTCCTAGGGATGGCTCTTAGCATTCAACAAGAGCTCCAGCTTCTCACCCAGGTCGACAATGGCTGGAGACCAAGCATTTTGCCCTTCATTTTCAACAGCACAGGCACTTCGCACCATCTCCTTGGCTATTTCAGTTCCACCGCCAGTGTTGAGGACATCAGTGGCTTGCGCCACTGCACCAGTGATGTTGTGGATGGTCTTGTAGAGGCTTTTCATGCTTTCCACCACCATGGCTTTCTGCTTCTTCAGCACATCCATATTATGATGCAAGGCGGTGACAACGGTATCCACCTGGCATTAAAAGTGGACATGGCAATTATGGGATTCTGACTTAGGGGTTGATTCATGGGGATTCTCAGTTCATGGACTCCTGGACTATGATAATACACGATAATCGGCAATCCCGAATCATATGTATGTCTATATTATATATATATGTATTACATATGTATGATGGGTAATATTATATATATATAGTATAACCGAAAAAACGGTGTGTGTGTGTGTGTGTATGTATATATATATATACCGCAAACAAATCATGAACCAAGGCTTGAAATTCTGACTTGCGAATTTTCCCACCTCACGACTCTTGGAAACGAAGCTTTGGCCACGCTCAGATGAGCTGAGAACCAATGCCTGGGACTCGAGGCCAGAGAAACTTTTTCACAACGGGGTAAACAGAAAAAAACGGATGTGTTTCCAACTATATATTGATGATTCATACCATTCATATCTGATAAATAAAGCAATGTAGCAACCCAAAAAAGATAGAACAGCCATTTACCACAATTTTCCGTGGATTTGACTTCTCTTTCTGGGCTTTGCAACGGATAACCAATGGATAACCACTGGATAACCAACGGCAGTATGTTGACACCTGCAGCTGCTGAGCACATTGTTCCCGCTCTGCCGTGAGGTCTTCCTCGGGGACTTCGCTCCGTTGTGATCTTTGCACTTCCTCCTGCAAGCTACGAACCTCGCAGGGCCCGCAGGGAACATCGGACATGTTTCAGGGCGACCTGGTTGCGACCTGGTTAAAACTTTTCCGGATTTCTTTGGGGCGCGCAATATTGCGCAATGGAAATCAACTGGCTACTATCATGACGTACTCTCAGATCGCTCACACTGTGTCAATGTTATGTCAACCAGGCTGTCTCACCTGATTGTGCAACTGACTGATGATCTCACGCTGCTTCACGATCAAGGATTGCTCCTTCAATAAAATTTCAACTTCGAATCAGAGACATCAGAGACGTCAGAGACGTCTTTGCATCGTGAGCTCAAACTGCTTCAGTGGAAGTCCTTGCTGATTAGGACGGGCTTTGCAACACATCGAACTTCCGCAGCCTTCGTGATCTCACATGCCGGGCAATGTCTACTCAAAGAATTTCAGGAAATACCTGGAAATGTAGTGGAATATAATGTAATTGTTCTCTTAGGTGATTTCTATTTATTCTTGGTAACACATAGCGAACATATCCGAGCACTGGGTTCAGGTCTGCCTTTTGCGCGAAGCGGAGAGTCGTCAGACTCTGCTCAATTGCATCTTCGGACGGTGTCAAGGTCACCTGCACTTGAAATCAGGTGGTGGCATCCAAAGACAAGCATGCAACGATGCAACAAATATCAACCAATCACCTTCCCTTGGCTGCCGACCAGCAGACCAGTCTGAGAGTTTCCATTCAGATGGACTGAGAGCAAACGAGTTAGCCTTGGTTGTAGGGGTGCTCTTGGGTTGCGCTTCCCAGACTTGACCAAAACGAGGGCAGCACTTGGAGTCTCTGAAAGGAATGTGTTCATTATCCTCCGGAACCTCGATCATACTTGATCACAACAGGCTTGGTCTGGCTATCCGAGGTACAAGTGACTAGTCATGAATATATTTTGCGCCAAAACGTTCTGCAGTTCAAAAGAAATGAGTCCCTAGCAGAAGATGTCGTCCTCTTGTCTCTGGCAGCCAATTTTTCAATGACCTCAACCACGGCAGTTGAAGTTAGGTATTTTTGAAATGATTTGATGTTATACGAATGTTGGCATTTTTTAGTGCAGCACATTAGAACGACACATCTGACCTTGCCCAAGAAGAAGAGAGACTTGTTGATGCTGCTGGATTCCGCAACATATTCTGCGCCAGCCTGTCTCAAGGGGGATGCATCCAGCAATATTCTGTGGATCTCAGTCCAGGTATTCTCAGGGTGAAACCAAGCTCAAGGCGCCATGTCAATTTGTCATGTCCCCCACCAAAATAACAATATGGATTATGGATTTGAGAAAATCGAGTCCCAAAAAAAATGCTTCGGGTATACCGGGCATACCGTGCATCGTACACCCCAATTTCAGACACACCCAATAGCCACTGTCAGTTGGTCATATCCCAGAAAATCCACATCTCATTTTTCGCAAGTTCCATGAAATATACCCTTCAGTAATCCAACATAACTATGGAAAACCACAATTTGTCATAGGTAAAACATCGAACTAAATGAGCCCTTGTTTCCATAGTTATGTTACGCGCAAACACCCCGATTCGCCCACACCCCTTCTATGCTGTACACTTGGGGATATCAAACGTTAGACTTTACATTCAATTGGGAAGATCAACAAGGGTATTTAGGGAATATAAGTTTCCCACCCCCGTTAAACTTTATATTCATTGAAGATCTTCAATAAGGGTTTAATTCTCCCACCCCCGTTACACTTCTACATTCATTGAAGATCTTCAATAAGGGTTTAATTCTCCCACCCCCGTTAAACTTCTACATTCATTGAAGATCTTCAATAAGGGTTTAATTCTCCCACCCCCGTTAAACTTCTACATTCATTGAAGATCTTCAATAAGGGTTTAATTCTCCCACCCCCGTTAAACTTCTACATTCATTGAAGATCTTCAATAAGGGTTTAATTCTCCCACCCCCGTTAAACTTCTACATTCATTGAAGATCTTCAATAAGGGTTTAGTTCTCCCACCCCCATTAAACTCCTACATTCATTGAAGATCTTCAATAAGGGTTTAGTTCTCCCACCCCCGTTAAACTCTACATTCATTGAAGATCTTCAATAAGGGTTTGATTCTCCCACCCCCGTTAAACTTCTACATTCATTGAAGATCTTCAATAAGGGTTTGATGATGATGATGATGATGATGATGATGATGTGTAAGAGACTCGCACAGGTCCCTATGCTGTGCGTGCCGATATACAACATGAAGTTAGCCATGATGCAAAAAAACTCCCATTTTTATCACGTTTTCAGCACATACGAAGATGGCCGCCGACAAGCGGGCAAATCGAGGTGTTTGCCCGTTATGTTAGTTTACTGCTGGAGGACATCATGAAATATCCATGAATTATCCATGAAATATCCCCATGAAAGTTCCATCGTATCCTCACCGTATCCTCTAAGAAATATGGCTTGCATCCCAAGTGGTTGCGGGCCTCCAGTCGTTCGTTGCCTGCCAAGTCCACGATCACCAAGCGGCCAACGCGCGTCACAGACTGGGCCTCTCCGTCCTTGGCGTCCTGCAAACTGCAAAGAACATGTGGAAAATCTCTGGTGAAAAATGTTGGCTAAATTGGTGTCAAATGCTTGAATACATCAAATATCCTCATTAATATCATTTATCAGATTCAATTCACGAAAACTCATTGAACAGAATATGTGAACATGTCATTAAGATCTCTGTTCTGAAAGTCCAACCTCTGAAAATGTCTGGATTTCAACCCTGGCTTAGCTTGGCTCGAGTCCTCCAGCGGCACGGAGCACTCCACACAGAGCGTCAGGAGTGTATGAGATCTGGATGAGACCTCTGAAAACAACAAATGTGCGAAAGCCAATGCCATAAACCACCTACCATTTGGGATGGCTTTTACCACCTATTTGTAGTGACATTGGGGATGGTTTATTATTGGGTTTGGCACATTGCAAAGTATAAAAAAGCAAAACCACTGCCTCAATGACTGCGATTCAGCCCTTGCAAAAGCTTCTTGTGACGCAAATGCTTCACACTTCCATGTTTCTACCTCGTTGTACCGCGTATGGGCAACTCTTCTCCGTTTCTCTGCTTCAGCAAAGAGCATCAGTACCTGTGTGCAGCAAGAAACTTGAAGAGAAGAGGACAACATAAAAGAATCGCGAAAGAACCCTCTAACAGTCCAACAGTGGCTTTGTTGACAAATTGGGGTGTATACCGGTATACCCCCAAATCCCGGCATGCGCATTGAATACCGACTTGTTGATGGTATATCCCAACCCCCTAATATGAAATACCCCCAAAAGAAACCATGACCCATGATATCACTGCCACATCTGACAGAATCTGACCTCTTCGGCTGAGGACACAATCTTCTCTTTCAGTCCATCAGCATAGAAGCCTCGTCCTGGGACGACGTAAAGGTGACGACATTTTCGTGGCATATAATGGGCGCAATTCCATTGAATACCACAAATATATATATTTTTCTGAGCAAGTGTGTGTTTATCCTAAAAATGGAGGATCTACACCCCATGCTTGACAATTTTGATAGAAAACGTGGGGTTCACAAACCATCAATTTGTGGGGTAACCCTTTTTTTAGACAAAGCCAAATGGTAGGAAGACCGAGAGTTGCTGAGAATTGGAAGAAATTTCCCCTCAGCAGGTTTCGTTTTTCCTTCTGGATCTTCCTTGACAGCCAGATTCTGGCCTCAGAACGGACAAACGGCCCACGAGTGCGTTGCAAAACTTCCCTTCTGAAGCTGCGACTTTGTGGCCCAATCTTTCTCAACAGGTCATTGACCTTGAGCAACAAGGGCGGCAATTTCCTATGTCTACATCAGAATCACAAAGCTGGTTCTATATCTGCACTATTCTGCACTAATGCATTGAAAAAGCTCCGCACTCTGAGAACGCTGCTCTCTCCATGTAAAGTTCACAATATGACCTAATAGAGAAGCTTAGGCTTATGTGATCTTATGTGCCATTCGACCGAGGAAGTCAATTGCTGAAATTTTGAGAATCATCATCAAGCTGCTCACAACTTGCAGGCACCAGCTTTACCAGGGACCTGTTCAGCCTTACATGGCATTCCCCACTGGGAACCTTGCATGCGCACCAGATATTCGATGCCCTCAGGTCCACAGGCCTTGCCAAAACACATTGTCCTCTCACTGGACTGACTGGACTCAAGCAATTGTAGAGTCTTTCCAATGCCTTCTTGGTAAGCTGTCCGAACAGATCATCAAGGGCAAAATGTATCATTCCTGGGCGCAAAGAACAGCTCATTTCCCTCCGAATTGGATCGGCAAAATCATTTCTCAATTGAAAAGCTACAAATCTCATCAAATCTCGAGCTATCAACGTCAATTGAGCTCCGGTCCCTTGTTCAGCTCGTCATTTTGAGCCTCCGCAAGCTTGGTCGCTACGGCTTCAAGGCGGCTACTGTATGCTGTGGCTTCCACACACCAAGTCTGGGGTGGCCAACGGTGGAGCCGCTGATGGAGAACGTCTTTCCACTGGCAGTCTGACCATAGGCCAGGATAGCACCGTTCATGCCCTGCAGGTTGCGGTCACAACCATTTTTTTTAGCGCAAAGAGCTTCCAGATCGGAATTCAGTGAGATAATGGCTATACATCCGTATATCTGATGTTCAACCATTGGATATTCTAAACATCCCCGCAAAAGGAGTCAAGCCATATTGAGGAATTCAATCAAGAGCGACTTGAACCAGCTGCTCACGCCTCCGCAGCCCCAAAAACGATGTTTCTGAAAGCCTGCTCATAGACCTGATGTGGAAGGTGGATTATATGAGCTCTGACGATGCACTGGAAGACATGGCTCACAATCTGTGGGTACTTCTGACACTTCAAGTACTCCAAAAAATGATATGCTTTACTGCACAAAAGAATGAACTACGTCTGTAGTGTTTCCATCTCTGCGCAAGTGCAGCAAGTGACTTGCTGCGTTGAAGCTTCTTCGCCAAAGACGTGGTCCATGATGGTTTCACCGTCTGGCTTACCTCAGAGTTCCCATGGACATCTCGATACTGTATGAATACGTGCCCCAAAACGAAACTGCATAAATCAGGAATATCATTGAATATTCATTTTGACTGGATCGGTGGTGAGTGTGGGATGAACAACAGAATCACAAGCAATCACATGCCAAAAATTTGAGATCCCCCGCGCAGGTGATCCAAGTTCCGAAGCTCACCACGAGTTTTGAGCCTTGAATCACCAGCTTTTTTGAAGTCCCAACTTTTCTTTGTGGGGTATAACCAAAACATACCAAAATATACACCAAAATGTTGGAAATGTGTGTATAACGGTATAACCCTGGTAAACCCAGTGCCACTAACCAACCATAGTTCACCCATGTTGCTGTGTGTGTGCCTTGTTGGGGATGCTACACATTCCCCAATGTTACTACAGTCGCTGGGAGTCAGGCGACTTGCTCGCATCAGAGAAGTCAGAATCCACCCGAGTAAGGCTGCGTTCTGTCAATGTAATGGACCTCGGTAACACACCACCAGCATTCAGAGAACTACTTGGGCTGCAACTTCAAAATGCAAAAAGTTTCTCAGTAGTTAGCCTGTCGCTGAGCACCCACGGTGCTCGAGCTGTGCCAATCGCCACCTTTGAAAAATGTCTTTGTCTCGTGTTGGAAGGACACATCACAATTGCTACAGCACAATGTGCAAAACTTTCAAAACATCCTATACCGTGTCAAGAGTTGAATCAATTTGTTTATTGGATTTTATTGGTATATACATGTACATAGACACATACACATACACATACAGATATATACATATACACATACAAATACATATACACATACACATATATAAATCATACATTTACATATATATATATATACATCATACATATATAATGGTTCGATCCCATGGTTCTCCCATGTTTTCCCATTTCTGTACTGTAGCTGATTAATTCACACCTCCCAACCCTATTTTTTAAAGCGGTGTTCGCCTCCCCCGGAAGCAGTGGCCGCATCCGGCAGGAGACCGACACATGGCCGTGGTGCCAAGGAGTAGGCAATGGGCACTCTGAAGCCATGAAATCAGCCTGGAGCATGGGAACCACCCGTTGGAGGATCAAATGTTGGGGTATGACTGATATAACCCTGTTTAACCATATGACATAATATATATATATTTCATTATATTTCTATATGATATAGTGGATAGGAAAATGATGTGAAATAATTTTGAATAATCCAGTTTGAAGGGAAAACTGGAAAACTGTTGAAATGTACTTTTCTTTTTGTATCACAGGTCCTCCAATCCACCAATGTTCCTGTTAAATTGGGCTAGTGACTTGGAGATCAGCCCCTCACCAAGAAACCTGGTCCAAGGTGCTGCGTGGACTCTAACATGACGGCTGCGTGGACCATGGTTCCGTAGTTTTGTTCAACGAGCGCTTCACTAGTACTGTTCTTGCTCAAGCATATCACTGCAATGACATTGTATGTAGCTTCAAGGAGAGCAGGTGGATGTGGTCTGAACTATCCATGTTGACAAATCTCCCAAATCTTGTTGCTCAACCTCCAATTATACTCGTATAAAACCCATCAGCAAGGGTTGGTTGGCCGCTGTTCAAATGTATGTGTATATATATATATATTATCATTATTACCAGTAGTACCGCACAAGGCGGTGGCGGAAGTTTCAAAAATAGGAAACCTATAGGAGAGATTGGTTGTTGTGAATCAGGGATGGCAGAGCGAAGCCACTGATGGATCGAAAGACGATTGATCTCTCTCACTCTTTCTCTGACTGTCTACCTACCTACCTACCTATCTATCTATCGATCTATCTATCTATCTATCTATCTCTCTATCTAGCTATCTATCTCTCCCTCTCTCTCTTTCATTTGATTACTCTATCTATCTATCTATCTATCTACCTATCTATCTATCTATCTATCTATCGATCTATCTATCTATCTATCTCTCTCTCTCTCTTTCATCTGTCTATCTGTCTAGCTGTCTACCTGTCTATCTATTTATCTATCTATCTCTCTCTCTCTCTCTCTCTCTTTCATCGGTCTATCTGTCTAGCTGTCTAGCTGTCTACCTGTCTATCTATCTATCTATCTATCTGTTTGTCTGTCTGTCTGTCTACCTATCTATCTATGGTGCACCTAGCTACCTACCTACCAATCTATCTATCTATCTAGGTATCTATCTATCTATCGATCTATCTCTCTCTGTCTCTCTCTCTCTCTCTCTTTCATCTGTCTCTCTGTCTAGCTGTCTACCTGTCTATCTGTCTATCTATGTATCTATCTATCTATCGATCTATCTCTCTCTCTCTCTCTTTCATCTGTCTCTCTGTCTAGCTGTCTACCTGTCTATCTGTCTATCTATGTATCTATCTATCTATCTATCTGTTTGTCTGTCTGTCTATCCGTCGACCTGTCTATTTAGGGTGCAATGTCATTCAGTCTAATGTAGTGTAGTGTACTGTAGTGTAGTGTAGTGGAATGTGGTGGAAGGTAGTGTAGTGCAGTGTCATGTAGCGTGTGTAGTGTAACTTAGTGTAGTGTAAATTAGCGTCGGGGAGGGTAACGGAGTGTAGTTGTAGTTGTAGTTGTAGTGTAGTGTAATGTAGTGAAGCGTAGTGGAAGGTAGTGCAGTGTAGTGTAATGCAGCGTAGTGGAGTGTAGTGTAGTGTCATGTAGTGTACTGCAGTGTAATTTAGTGCAGTGGAGTGTAGTGGAGTGTAGTTGTAGTGTAGTGTAGCGGGATGTAGTGTAGTGTAATGTCGTGTAGTGGTGCGTAGTGGAGTGTAGTGGAGTGTGGTGAAATGTAGTTGTGTAGTTGTAGTTGTACTGTTGTGGAGTGTAGTGTAGTGTAATGTAGTGAAGTGTAGTGGGAGCAGTGTAATGCAGTGTAATGTAGTGTAGTGTAGTGGAGTGTAGTTGTGTAGTTGCAGGTGTAGTTGTAGTCTAGTGGAGGGTAGTGTAGTGTAATGTAGTGAAGTGTAGTGGAAGATGGTGTAATGTAGTGCAGTGGTGTCTATCTATGTACCTGTCTATCTATCTATCAATCTATCTATCGATCTATCTATCTATCCATCCGAATCCATCCATCTACCGTGTACTGATACGATCCTCATGTTCCTAAATTGAAACTTCAACAGCTCCTACAGCGTTAACACAACAGACTCCAAACCCAAAAAAGGCTCAAAACCCTGTAGTTGTAGTTGTAGTTGTTGTGGTTGGTGTTGTTGTTGTTGT